CACTATCATGAGAACAGCATGGGAAAGACTTGCCCTGAAGATTCAATAACCTTCCACTGGGTCCCTCCTACAATAAGTGGGAATTCAAGATGAGATTTGGGTGGGGACAGAGCCAAACCATATCAGTTATTTTATATATGTGATATATATTATATAAATATATATATATATATAACAAAAACGAAAAATTTATATATATAAATAAAACAAAAAAACAAAAATTACATAGTCATCTCAATAGAAGCAGAGGAAGCATTTGATAAATCCAATACCCATTAAGATAAAATCGTCATAAAACATAAGAATAGAAGAAAGCTTCCTTATTCTAATAAAGGGATCTACAAGAATCTTATAGCTAACATCATACTTAATGGTGAAAGACTGTATAGTTTCTTCCTAAGGTCACAGGAAGAATGTCCACTCTTAACACCTCTAGTCAATGTTGTACTGGAGATTCTCACCAGAAAAAGAAGACAAGAAAAAAATATCTGTATTGGCAGGTGACATAATCTTGTACATAGAAAATAATGAACCCACTAAAAATTATTAGAACTGATAAGCAAGATTATCAAGGTTGCAGGATACAAGATCAATATACCATTTCATACCCACTAGCTGGCTAGAATAAAAAAGTCAGATAGCAAGTATTGATGAGGATATGGAAAAATGGAAACTCTTACACACTGCTGGGTGAGAATGTAAAATGATTCAGCCTCTTTGAAAACCAGAGAGGAATCTCTTCAGATGATTGAACATGGAGTTACCATAGGATCCAGCATTTCCACTCCTAGATATAGATAGTAGATAGATGATGATAGACAGATAGGATAAATGAAAGCATGTATCCACACAGAAATTTGTACATGAATGCTTATAGCAATTCATATTATTTATAATAGCTAAAAGGTAGAAAGAGCCCAATATCTATCCATCCATTAATGAATGGATGAATAGATAAATGCAGTATATTCATATAATAGGATACCAGTTGGTCATAAAAAGGAATGGAGTACTGATACATGATAAAACCTGAGTGAACCTTGAAAATGTCAGCTAAATGAAAGAAGCCCATTACAAAAGGCCATATACCACATAATTCCATTCATATAAAAGCCCAGAATCTATAGAGACAGAGTATATTTGTGGTTGCTTGGGTGTTTGTGGCTGGTAGAGAAAGAAGGGATGTGGCATGGGAGGAGGGGTGTGAACTAAAGGATATGGGGTTTCTTTTCTCTTTTTGACAAAAATATTCTAAAATTGACTGTGGTAATAGTTGCACATCTGTTTGAATGCACTAAAAATCATTGATTTTTAAACTTTTAGTGGATAAATGGCACAATATGTGAATTATACCTCAATAAAGTTATTTAAGAATTAACCAATCATTTTCCCTGGATCTGCATATTGTCCTGTCTTCCTCATGACATTCTGTTAACCAAGCAAGGCACGAAGTACCTTGGAAGTTATTCTAGACCGCCCTCTTTACCTTTTCCCCAGCGTCCAATTCTCCATCCCATCTGCTTCCTAAAAATCTCTCTGACCTGCCCCATTCTCTCCATCCCTCTAGCATTCCCTTAATTTATGGTCTTTTTAAAAATAATATTTCTCTTGATATGCCTTCCTGTGCTACAAGTTGAGTATGAAGGGAATGGTATTGAAATTGATGGTGTATGTGGAAGGGGGATTAATTGAGGGATATATTTATTTGCAATCCAGTACAGCTATTTATTTATTTATTTTTGTTGTTTTATTTGAAGAGTTTTAGGCAATGACAACAATACTGGCAGGGGTCTACTCCCATCTCTACACCCTTTCTTAATATTGCTCACTGTTTTTCTACATTTGTGTTTTTCTTTGTTCGATTGATGCATTTTAAGCTGAATGGGGAAGCTATAGACATCATCTAGCCCAACTTTATAGTTTTGATCCTGTACTTGGGTCATTTTATTTCTTTCTTCTCATTATTCACTTCCAAGCAACCAAAAATTTCTATTTTACTTTCATAGTGCAAAAATTAGCAAAATATCTATGTTTCTATATACATATATATATATAATTATTTGCTATGACAATATATGATAATTATTTGAAGAAATTACAAAGCAATAAAAAATAAAAATAAATAAAGTAATTTGGGGGTCATTTACTTTCAGCCTAAAGAATTTCCTGTAGTATTTCTTGTAAGATGGCTCTGGTAGCAACAAAATTTCTGTTTTTATTTATCTGGGAAATTTTTTATTTTGATTTTATTTTTGATTGCTAGCTTTGCTAGTATAGGAATCTTGGTTGACTTGTAATTAATTTTCTATAAAGGGGAAGATTTTAAAGGTAAAGAATTTTGCTAATATAGGGTAATGTTATCTGTGAAAAAGGAGATGGTCAGAAATAGTGATAATGATTAATACATTAATCGTTAAAAGAAAATTATTTTACAGCGAGCATTATTGTGATTCACTTTTCTGGAAGATGAAATGTACAACGTTTAGTAGGTTGGAAAAGATTATTTGGCCAAACAGATGGCAGCTCTGGAAAGTTGAACTTCTATTTGTTTAGGTGGTTTTAAGGAGAGTACCTAGATTGGATTCCCTACATCTGAAAAACAAGGATTCTCAACTTGGCAAATATAGAGACTGGACTTTTAAAAATATATATATCCAAAGATGATTTGACACTAGAAAAACAGCTCATTATAAGCTGACAGGAATGTTCCTACCTAGACGTGTGCACTCTAACAATAATTAAACTGTATGGGCAGCAAGTGTGAAATCAAAGTTTTGCCTGGTCAGTACAGAAACAGAACATAGAAATTAGGTCATCTTAAGTATGTCAGGGCTGAGGCAAAGTACTCCCTTTAGGACCCCATCTAGGGACGACCTGTCAGGGAGCACAGTGCATGGCTTCATCAACCAAGACTCTCCCTGCAGAGAGAATGTCTTTTACATCTTCTCTTCAAGACTTCATCTTCCCTGCATGGCAATATATGGTGTATATTCGTATATAAACCAGCACACAGCCAAACTGATGTTGCTTCAGTCTGGAAATAAAAACTGATTGTGATTAATTTAGCAGCAACTGTTCCCTGTGTCTGATTAGACTGCAGTTTGCTTTGGTGATGATGTCCGACATGTGTCCAGAACTGAGACATGAGTACTGTCTATTTCCTCAGCCATTAACATATCAGATTTTCATATGTGTGTTTTATTAGCTAAACTTTCAGAGAACACATTTTTCTCTGTTTTGAAGGTATTTCACCTCAGGGTTATCAATATTCCTTTACCATTTTTCTTTCTTTATACAAGAAAATAAACTTCACTATATATTCCAATATATAAAGAATATAAATTGGCCTGCACTCACATGAAAATGTTGACACATTACTTACTTTCCATGAAACAAATAAAACTAATTTGCACATTTAAATAACTATAGTTACAGTTTACAAATAAGACCTAAAGTTAAATACATAGTGCTTAATTAATAACCACCTCAAAAAAATAAAAAAACACTTTGTTAAAGGCCTAACTCAGCATCTAATATCTGTGTATGATTTTTAAATCATTTGTTTGTCCTTAACCATAATAGAGCATTCTCAGTCTAAGGAAGCTATCTCACCAAGTGTCAGAAAGGATCAATCAGGTATAGTCAGGATGAACAATTCACGCAATGAAGAGCAATTGGCCAACTGCTGCATGCCTGAGATGGGTGACTATTCCAGGAGAAATTACCCTAGCCCCTGCCCCCTCAAATATTTTTCCAGATTAATATTGCAGGAGACAAGAAAGCTAGACTAAACAAATCAATGTTTTGTCAAGATGTTACTGAATGTAACAAAAGACAGCAAACGAACAGGATTGAACACATAAAATACATGGAATTAAGTTAGAACTGATTTATCCTCAAAACAGAACCAGAGGCTAAAATATAGATATATTCCTTCTATGTAGATGTGCTATATACTATGTGCTGTGTGCTACCGCTTTCTGGCATCTAGGCAGCCTGCACCTTAGATTCCTGGGAAAAAGGCATAGTACAAACTGTGTGTGTGTGTGTGTGTGTGTGTGTGTGTGTGTGTGTGTGTGTATCTGTGTAGGACTTTGGACCCAGATTCCTATGTGGCACTCCTGGTCCTGGCCTAGGTCTTGTGATCTCCTATTGCCCCTCTACTCTAATACGCAGATCAGATTTTTCAAATGTGATGTCCCAAGCAGTACAATTTATCCAAGAAAGTATAATTCGTAATATTCAGTGCTCAAATTTGAAAAATAGTATTAAACCAAGTTAAGGGCCTCCTTAAAACTTTTCACATTCATTAATTTGCTATTGTATGTTGTGAATGGTCATAATTGAGATATTATACTCTCTTTTCATCTAAATTCTTTCTTTCTTTTAGCTCTGTAATTCCCATTAATATCCAAGTCAAATATCCAGTGGAATGTTTTGACCTAGAGTAAACTCTGGGCTCTTAGGGCTCTTTACCCAAGTCTCATCCACTGTCTTCGCATTTGAAGTTGTGCCAGTCAGGAGGAAAGAAGCATGCATAACCAAATGAAGTTGCCCACCCTGAGGTTTTCCATGTCTACCAGCATGAGGTAGTCCCAAACCTATTTTATTGAGTGATGCATGATGGGAAACCCTCCATAAATGGAGCTGAGATCATAATCCTCAAATGAGGAAATCCAGACATAAAAGGGCATTCCAACAATGACAAGGATTTTTGAGTATTGCTTCTCATACTGAATCTCTACCCAGAAGCACTGTGGTACTTGGCTTACCCTATACCAGCCCTCCTCTTCAGGCACTTTTACCTAGAGGAAGGTCTGGTGACATAGGGAATGTTTAGCATTCCCTGTTGGTCATAAGATTGTCACAACAAATGTACTTATTCATGGATACTGAATTGTAATTGTCTGTATAGTATTATTCTGACCACAGCAAAAGATAAACTTTGCAATTTACAGAGGGCTTTTAGTAATATTTTTTTAATTAATATTTTTTTTTAGAAAAGGACCAAAAACTAACGCATGGAGAGGAACTCTGAAATGAACATGTTCTAGCTGAAATACAGAAGAATATCCCATAAGGCATCAGGAATCATCTAATGCTTTACTTTCAAAGAGTGCCTGCTGGCAGGCAATGCTCAAACTTCCTACAGATTGGCAGAAAAAAATAATTATTGTGACTCCACTGTGCAAGATGAATGGGAAAGAAAGGGTCCTGGTACACAGAACTTCATTTTCAATAAAGTCTCCTAAAGAGAAAAGAGAGCAACAACTGAACACTCAATTTTATTCTTTGTTCAGCTTGCTGGGTCACAAGAAATGCTTCTTTCTGAAGTGTTTTTTCTTATAAAATAATAAGATAATATGAAGCAGGCCGGAAGAGTAGGGATTGCACTCATTTCAGAATCAAACAAACCAAGAATTGAATAATCACCTCCTCTACCTTCTAGCTACGCACCTTAAACAAATTCATTAACTTTTCTAAGCCTCAGTTAGCCCACCCCACACAGGAAGCTAATAATACCTAACGTGAATGATTAACATGTGACTATCACCTTGAAATGTTTCTGGCTCCTAATAGGCATTCTATACATTAGGTCTCTACTAGGCTAAAATGAGAGCAAAGCAAATAAGAAAATACTAAAGGCAGAATAGCACGAAGAAGAATGTCTTGTGTCTACACTTGTTGTTACTTCACAGAAAAATCATTTTACCTAATTTGATCATAGCTCCTATCATAACTCATCTTTGACAAAATACAGCATTTTGTGGTGTGAAATGAGCTATAAACCTGACAGTCAGATCTAGCATTGGTAAGGGATAAAACTAATCATGCTGTTGGTGGATAGGAAGAAGCCTTAGCTCACCTAACTTTAGGAAGTTTTTGGAAGACAATAGATTGTCAACCAAGCAAAGTTTGGTTTATTTTGGGTTTTACTTTAGAGCCAGTATCTGAAAAAAAAAATTCTATACTATTTTCCAGACATAAGAAACTGATGATATAAAATTGCAAATAATGATTGAATATTAGAATCAAATGCAGTAGCTAGTTCAAATGTCAATGCCAGTTGTTCTTTAAACACTTCCACTTACAACTTTAGGATTGAAGAGGCCTTAGAGCTTGTTTTGACCTAGACTGCACTTTTAGCGTGGCCCTGAGGTTATTGTCCTGACACACTTGATGCTCAATTTTGCTGAAGCATAATAATGAATACCAACGTGTTAAAGGTGAAATAAAACCAGACTGCTTGAAAGCGGATGTATTCTCCCGAGGATAGTTCAAGAGAATTGGAATGTGGGTTGGGGCACCCTATATCAAAAACGTGTTTGATAGAAAGCACATTAGCCAGGAGAGATAATACAAGAATCAGTGCCAGGGTACTCCAGTGCAGGGTCCCCAACTCTCGAGGCCAGGCTGGTACCAGTCTATGCCTGTTAGGAATCAGGCCACACAGGAGGAGGTCAGCAGTAGGCAGCAAGCATTACTGCCTGAGCTCCACCTCCTGTCAGATGAACACCAGCATTAGATTATCATAGGAGCACAAACCCTGTTGTAAACTGTGCATGTGAGGGATCTAGGTGGCGTGCTCCTTATGAGACTCTAACTAATGCCTGATGATCTGCAGTTGGAACAGTTTCATCCCAAAACCATCCCCCCATCCCAACTCCATGGAAAAACTGTCTTCCACAAAACTGGTTCCTGGTGCCAAAAAGATTGGGGACCACTGCTCTGGTGCATCAGTCAATGTTTGATTGGAAAACCAGAATCACCGTAAGTGTCAATGGAACCCACAGAGATGTCCATGGAAAGCCACAAGCGTCTCCACTACATCTTCTGGGAATAGGGTTGCCTTTTCACTTTGGCCCTGGAGTCTTAGTTCCTCTCATTAGCAGCCTCTAAGCCAGAACCATAAGGGGAAAGGGATTTTTGGAAATGTAGTTTTCAGCCTTGGAAGGGCATAGGTGCTGAGTTGGTAAGAGACAACCCAGCTCACCTGGTTATAGTGTATGCCCAGATATCCTGACCCTTTCTGGAGAGCAGTGAGAGTGTCACAGAATGTTTGGAAAGATGGATGTCCCATAGTATTTCTTTTATATTCTTTCTGTGAGAACTCAATGGATACAAGTAGAAACAAAATGACTTGGTCAAATAACAAAATCAAGACAAAAGACAAATCAAGAATGTGTGGAGTAATATTTATGTGGCAGGTGAAATGTGTGGAGTAATATTTATGTGGCAGGTGTTAAGTGATTTATGGACATTATTTCATTTACTTTCACAACATAGATTCTTTTTCTTTCATTTTACAGACAATGCAACTTTATTGTAAAGGTGAAATAAAGATCTCTGAATCATTAAATCAGTAGATGATAAAGTCAGTGTAAACTAAGTTTGGATCTAAACACAGAGCCACTGCTATCACACCATATCACATCCCATCAAGGGGCTAGAAAGATTGACATTGCTTTTAGTAAGATACAAGTATTTTCATTATTAACTCAAGTCTACATCGGCATTTATTTAACTTTTAATGTGTATTTTATGGCATATCCTACCTGCATCAGAATGATTGGGACAATCAGCTTTTTTTTTTTTTTTTTTTTGAGTCTTTCTCTGTCACCAGGCTGGAGTGCAGCCGTGCAATCTCAGCTCACTGCAATCTCCATCTCCTGGGTTCAAGCAATTCTCCTGCCTCAACCTCTGGAGTAGCTGGGACTACAGGCATGTGCCATCATGCCCAGCTAATTTTTGTGTTTCTGGTAGAGACGAGGTTTCACCATGTTGGCCAAGGTGGTCTTGATCTCCTGACCTGGTGATCTGCCCACCTCAGCCTCCCAAAGTGCTGAGATTACAGGTGTGAGCCATCATGCCCAACCAAGAATCAGCATTTTAAACTAGCTCTCTGGGTGATTAATGTTTAGCTTTCAGTTTGAGAACTGCTGATTTAGACATTTTCTCAATCATCAGGATGAACACAGAATTTGGCTAGGGGCAGGAGACAATTTTTCTGCAACTAATACATTAGGATATGCTAAAATACAGAATTATATAAAGGTTCTGCAAAATACAGAATTAGAGGTAATTCAAATTTTTTCCTTCTTTGTAAATATCATTGCTTTACATGATTGCCTTCTGGAATTAAATAACATGTTGTGATTATTTCCAAATTAACAGGAATCTCAAATTTAAAAAGTATAAATGTTTACTTTTTTCTAGGAAAAAGCAATAGTCATAAAAGGCTATTATATTTTCAAATGTATAATAATGTTGTCTATGATTCCTTTTGTCCCCAGCTAATTGTTACCCCTTTTGAAAGCAGCTGCATTGTTAAAGTCAATTAAGGATGCACTTGAATCCATTTTGGTTTCCTACACAATGACCTAGTATACTCAGCACTCCAGTGACCCTGGCAGACAGAACAGTACTTTGAAGTACTTAACAGTCATTACTCAGAAACTGTGTAATGACAGGTCCTAGTTTCCAAGTAGAATATTATAATCTTAATTGTAGAGACATCTCTTTTTGACTGAGAGATCTGCGCTAGATTGAAGCTTGTGCTTGAAATGAATTCAGCAGCAGAAGGAAAATTATATTTAAGAGAATAACCATAAAATTTCAAGTGTGTCACCTTGAGGATTTAAGCAAGTAACAAATTTCTTATTATTCTGTTCTCTGTAGAGCTAAATGTTTGTGCTTTTAATTTTCTTCTCCGGTAACCAATACATTAAAAACAAAATCCAAAAAACAGTTCTTATGCCCACAATGCCATCACAAACTGAAAGCACAAAATATTTAGATTTGATAACCTAAAAAATATGTAAGTTAATTTAAGATAATTAAGTATTATAATTGAGAAACATAATGGACATGAGTTTTTTCAAGGCTTCTTGAAAAAATATAAATTAAAAGAAGTTATTATAAACATGTCAAATTGGAAAAATGTGGTCCATCAGACACTGTTAACTTTCTTCCCAGAAATTTCACCCCTGACTCCTCCACTCTCAGTTGCTTGATTCCTGACTACAGGATGGGTTCTACCACCTGGAATCCATGAACAACCAGAATTTTGTTCCAGAACTGCCTTCCTGGTAAAGTCTTCTTTTTGGTGACTTTCCATATGCTCATTGACACCACGTTCCCTCAATTCCTATAGGATATGTTTTTTTGATTACTTAATCTGGATTTCAGATTGTGGATCTGTGACCATTTACCTTCTGATTTTCTGGGACCCATCTCACCTGCCTCTTAATATATTTTTATTTTTCTTGATGCTCCTATACATGCCCCAGACACCTGATACTTTTTCTTCCCTGGAGGTCCTGGTGATTTCTCTAACCCACTCAATCACCTTTCATTTCAGTGAAAAAGATTAGGAAACCAGTCTTTCCCCAGATCTCATTTTTTCTCACATTTATTGTAGGAGTTTTCATACCTTCTCTTAACGTAGCTATGAGAATTAAATGAAATGACACGTGAAAGGTACCCAGTGTCTGTATACATACAGCACCTGTTGCTTGGCAGGTCCTCAAGAACTGAAGCTAATTCTTCCCTATTTTGTTACTCTCATAATGCTTTGACACATATAAAAATTTTGTAATGTTTCTGTTTCATGCAGTAGTTCATCTACTGTTTCTAAACAAATGCAGCATCCAATAAATTTTTTAAATCTCCAGGGTAAGAATTATATGCTCTAGTTCATTTGAAAGCCCCATTGCCTAGCACCAGGCTGGGCATGATAGTATGTGTACAATAAATAATTACTGAAATGAATTAAAGTGAATGGAGAGCTGGAAGAGTTTGGATGGCAGTTGCCAGGCTGCCTGTTACACGTTATTCCTAACAGAATGTCTCCCATGAATTAATGATTCAGGACACCAGGTGGTCAGCTACAAGCTTCCTAAAAAGGGAAACAAGCAGGAGGAGAGGAGGATTTAGCACGAAAGCCTAAGTTTTACCACAGTGAATTCAAAATCCTTCTTTATCGCTTTCAAAGCTAGGCAGCTGGTGTCACAGCTTCATTCCAACTGTTTGTGTGGTGGCAGTGACATTCTGGGCACAAGGCCGGATGTTCCTGAGCCCCATCTCACTCCCACCCCGATTCCAGGTGCCAATGATCTCAACGATTCATTTGCACTTACGTTCACCTAAATAGGTACAATATTTGTAAAACTACATCTCTAGTGGTTTTTTTAAGTCAAAGTTAATGACAAATTCTAAATGATTTTTAAACTCCCTGGGCTTCAAACTTGGCAGGAGCACACCAGTTTGGAAGGAAATTGTTACTGGTACCAGGACTCTCCTTTGTTTTATAGCTATAGCCTGCGGGAGTTCTGAGAGTCCTAGGAATGAACTTTGAAAAAATGTTATTGAACTCATGCCTGCCCTGATAATGAGAATGAGGCCTTGTATTTCTCAATTCAAATAAAAGAATATTTTTTTCTTTTAACCAATGCCTATTTAAGCATTTGCAACTGCACATGCACACACATACATAAAACGCTTTCCTCTCTGAAATATTGCATACTATTCTTGCATATAAGTATCCCTTTTCATAACCACGGCAGACCATGGCCCAACAAGATGAGCTTAAAGGGCCTAAAAATGCAACCTCCATCCAGAATTTGACTTTGTAGGTCTTACTTTAGCTTTTGGAGAGGTCTGGATATCTTATGGTGTATAGCATCTGTCTATAAACATGAACATTTTCAGACAGATGGCACTCTACATCTGAGCTTCCATCTTCTTTTATTTCTAGCAGAAGTAGATCAGACGAATATACAGATTACACAAATCTACACATTAACCTGATAAAGGGAGAACAAAAATGTTATGTTATAGGACAGGAGAATGTGTAGATTATCACTCACTGGTCTTATTAGTTAACAAATTACAGAATGGAGTACAATGGAGAAAAATTCACCGACATATTTGAACTCAGATACCTCAAATCAAAGTGAAGGGACAAACAGAGCTCCCTAATTCTAATTGGATCAATTTATTCAGTGACAATTACTTCTGCAGCTGTGTCAGAACTCCTGCAAATTGCTTCATATAACGCTATACTGATACTGAACTGGTGTGTTTTGAGGAATGTTCTTATTGAATGTAAGGGAGTAAAGGACTTTGGTCTCACACCCTGGTACTTGTATTTCCAGAGCAGTATTGTTACTGCCAGTCTGTCTGAAATATCGATATTTAGTTTCCAAAAGTGAATATACCAAGATGCAGCATTGTGCAATCAGTACAAATTCCGGACAAAGACCAACTGTTGGTAAGGACACAATTGGAACTCTCCAACATTGACAGTAGGAATACAAAATGGCACAGCCACTTTGGAAATAGTTTGGTATTTTTTTTTTTTTACAGTGAAATGCACACTTACCATATAACAAGAAACCATAATCCTATGTATTTACCCAGGATAAATAAAAACATAATGTATGTTGATACAAAGGCTTGCAATCCAGTGACGATAATGATATTTTTCATAACAGTAAAAAAGAAAACTGGAAGCAACTCAAATGCCCATTAACTGATGGATCAATTT